GCACAGTTCTACTCTGACACACATGGGGTCGCCATGAGTTGGAATCAACTCCATGGCAACTGGTTTTATATGGTTAAAAGCAGGGGCTTTCTAGTCAAACTCCTTAATTTTAAAATGATTTAACTAAATGTTTGACCTTCGGTGAATTAATTTAAATTAAGCCTCAGATCCTTGTCTTTAAAAGGGATAAATAATAGCATCTTCCCTAAAGAGTTCCTGCAAACATTACATAAAATACGGTGTGTAAAGCACTCAGCACAAGTGCGTGTACTCAGTAAAATGTTAGCTATTTCTATTACGTAAGAATCTTTTCTGTTTATCACCACGGGTGGAACGAAACAATATATTACTTTAAACTGCAACAACGTGCCTCAGTCATGTAACTTAAGAAAACTACTTCCTTGAGGCTGTGACATCCTTGCAAAGGTGTTACTAGGAGGGAAAATGGAGCAAGGACACGTTCATTTGTATTAAATAAATAACACAGTTACTTAAGCATACGGGCTGTATAGTGAAAGAAAACGATGTTTAGAAAGTATTAAAACACAATCAAATAGAGGTTTAGAAGATCCAGTAATTAAGATTAGCTGTGTTGATTATCATAATCTCTGATACTAATATGACCTGCAAGGCCCAGCCTGGTCTCCACCTCAATCACACTGATCTTCTTTCAAACTCACCAATTTCTTTTCTGCCTCAAGGCCTACCTGCTTGCCATTTCATCTGCCTGGAATGCTTCCCCCATACTCTGACTGGCTAACTTCTACTCATAATTCAGGTGTCAGCTTCAAGTGACCCTGAACTACTTTTGGCTTTTTGATATTATTATCATCTTTTTAAAAAAAAATTAAGGTAAAATGCAACAGCATCATCAAGAATTTTTATACTGTATTCTTTATGATGTTTAGCCTAGGAGGTATTAACGAGATCAACCAGTAATTTTTTAAAAAATTTATTGTGTTTTAGGTGAAAGTTTACAGCATAAATTAGTTTCTCATTCAAAGACTTACACACAATTGTCTTGTGACACTGGCTGCAATCCCTGCGTTGTGTCGCCACTCTCCCCCTTTCCCTTTCCATCCTGCTTCCCTGTGTCCATTGGTCCAGTTTTCTTGTCCCTTCCTGCCTTCTCAACTCTGTTTTTAGGCAGGTGTTGCCAAGTTGGTCTCATATACTTGACTGAACTAAGAAGCGTGTTCCTCATGTCTGTTTTTGTTTGTTTTATAGGCCTGCCTAATCTTTGGCTGAAAGGCGGACTTTGGGAGTGGCTGCAGTTCTGATTCAGCAGGGTGTCTGCGGGGCCATAGTCTCAGGGGTTCCTCCAGTCTCTGTCGGACCAGTAAGTCTGATCTTTTTTTGTGAATCTGAATTTTGTTCTACATGTTTCTCCTGCTCTGTCCAGAACCCTCCAACAAATATTTTGGATTGAGCTGGAACCAAATAAACTAAATCGGAACCTACCTGTGTATCATAAAAGTAGCCAGCTGGAAAGAGAGGTCTAACGGAACGATCTGACGAGAGACAACAACACGTTAGACCATCAGGAGTCGCTTTACAGTTCAAAGGTTTTCCCCCATTAAACACGTGGCTAAAAAATACAGCTAGCTGTTAATATGTTTAAAAAAAAAAAATCCCAATGGACCGACTTACTGAGAGAGACATAAATAAATGTCAGTGCTTCCATCAATACATACCATCATACCATGCTCTAACAAACAAAAAACTAGCAGGGCAGGAGCCCACCAGTCTAAAGACTGGGGAGCAACTTTTCATTCTGTTTCCATAGCCATCAGTTACACGTACAAGCGGAGGAAAGAGAGTTAAGACCAACAGCAGACCAAAGACAATCCTTCCTTCACATTCTGTGTCCGATCAATGTGTGTAAGTATGCACAAAGTGGCAATTGCTGAGGCAATCACCGCCAGATTCCAAGGTCATTTTTTGCCCGTAGAAGTTCAACTCACAAGTTTAGATTACAAAGAATTACAAACAATTCCATAATATTTAGAGATGTTAAATATTTGAGGCACTACAGACATACTTTAGTATATTATGTTTTTAGGAATTATTATGCTGAACATGAAAATAAAAAAAAATACTGGGGACAGCTTCAACAGAATGGAGGTGTGGGCCACAGAACTTTTAGGCTTAGCAGAAACATTCGTTAATAAATGCTTACTGAATGCCCGTTCTGTGCCAACCAGTACGCCAGGTAGAAGAGATTCCGTAGTGAACCAAGAAAAGTTTTTATTCTCATGGAGTTCAAGTTGGAGTGAGTGGATATAGAGAGTAAATACTCTCAGGAGGTATTAATGCAATGAAGGACAATCTAAGGGCTAGTGTAGAACACAGATGAAAGAGACGAGATGCTAACACAGGGATATCACAGGAGGGTTAATGCTTCTATTTTCATATCTTACCTATTATTCGACTTGTAAGAATTTCTTTATCAGAAGAACCAATTTCTCTTCTAAGATAGTTTGTGGGAATTCTACCCGCTGCAGCAGCTTTCTGTCTATAGTCAACCTAAAGCAGTGATGAGAAAAATAAAGCACGTACGATTCCTTTTTGGTGTAACAGACTATACTACAAGAAATACTAATTTTCCTTAAGTTGCTAGCAACATATTCTAGACCAGGAATAGAGAATATTTCATTTACTTTTAGCTTTTTGTATTTTGTGGGGGAGAGCTGATAAAACTGTTTCAGCGTATCAATTTAAAAAAAAAAAAAGGAAAGAAAAAGTTTACGCATCTGTAAATTGAATAATGAATACTGCAAAACCCCATAATTTATGGCTAGATGTCCTTAGTTCAGCCTCCCTCCTAACAGTCAGATGACTACCTAGCTTCACTACTTCGGTAGCTCGTTCTGGTCAAGTCAAATACGGCCATTGCTGTATTGTAACTGATAGATATAATTGCATTCCACTTTTTACAAAAGAAAAAGGCCATAAAATCCTAACGAACTTACACTTCACTAAGTATATACTTGTAGACTCATCAGAGCCCCTGGATGGCGCAAAGGTTGGCAGTTCGAACCCACTCAGAGGCTCCTGGGAAGACAGGCCTGATCTGCTTCCGAAAGGTCACAGCCTTAAAAACCCTATGGAGGAGCAGTTCTAGTCTGCAGACATGGGGTCACCATGAGACAGAATCCACTCAATGGCAAGCAATAACAACAACATACTCATATTGGAGAGAAACCTATGAGAGCCATGAGTATTCACGTTTCCACTGTTCTTGTCAACTTACACATCTGGACATTCTAAGGTATACTGATGACTACAATGAGATTGGTGTGAAGCAATGGGTTTATGTTCTTTTAATGACTCAAACGTATGAATGACTCAAACAACTAAAACTCCTTTGTTGTGCAAAGTTTATATATTGCACTCAATAGATATTGGGCAAAAACACTCAAAATTCTACACTTACGCTATTTACGGTTCAGATGAATCAGCAAATACTTACCACCAAGGGCATGAACTGGGAGGGTGAAGGTTTCGTTTTACTGACTGCTGTGACCATCACTGCTGTGTCACCTGACTTAGTTAAACAAAATGACAGCAACATTGGTAAACTCCTTTAAAATCAGATATTAACACATAAGCAACAACTGAATGAATCCTCACTCCAAATAAACTCAAGGAGGGTACTGTTATTCCATGATACAATGACAGCAATTATTCACAAGTGGTCCAATCCTGACCCCTTCTCCATGCCCACACTCACGATTAGGATAGTCACTGGGCTTTTCAAAAGCAATAGAACCAAAAAAGGGAAAAGGCTCATTGATGGCTTAGCCACATCCAATGAATCAAATCACATCTTCTACTTCCTAGCAGGAAATTTAGGTTGTAAATAAAGAAAAAAATTCCCAAGTACCACTATTGAACAATAAATTAAAATAATTTTTTCTAGAAAAGCACAAGAGAATGTATTAACATTACTAGAATAAAACAGAACCCCAAGTTTGGAAGGCATCTTAAAGTTCATCTAATACATCCAGACTTCTGACTTCCTGGTTGTCTGGAAAGGTTCTGACTCTAGAAATGATTTCAACAGTACCTGAATTAATTTCTAAGAAGTTCTATGATGTTGTGAAGATACTCAGGACCAGTTTCTGTAACCATTTTTAACATGAAATTTATAAAACCTGGACTTTTTACCTGTACTACAGCAGAGCCATCTGCAAATCTGGCCAGTTTTCCAGAGGACATTTCTAATTTTCTGTTTAAAAATAAAAATTCAACACAAAAGGGCTTAGGTCATCAGTATAATTTCCAGCTTAGTATAAAGTAATCAAAGATTCTAATAGAACTAAAGGCTCCCAATCCCCATGGCCCTGTACCTAGCAAAAAAAAAAAAAAAAAAAGGTGGGGGGAGGGGGGTAGAGTTCACGATCATTATCAAAAGTACAAGGGAGAATTTAAGAGCTGCTTAAGGAAGAATACAGAAACCAAGGGCACAGGTTTAATTTTAAATAAGAAATAAAGCATTTTGGGGGTACAGAGCTAACTGTCTTCCTAAAAGGGAAGAACCAGGGGGATAAGTGGGTATACAAGCAAGGTTCCTACTCACAGGGTAAATCAGAAACATTGCGAATTACAAAAGTGTGCAGAAGATCAAGTTAAAATCTGACTATATACTTTCATATGCTTGATCCTTTAATTCTCACCATCCTTTGCAGTAAGCCTCCTGGTCCCCATCTACACCAATGACAAAAGTAGGGCTGTGAGAAGGCAGAGTCAGGAAGTAAAGCCATGTTTGCCTTACTCCATGGCCTATATTGTCCTTACAGTATGAAACTTCAGCATCAGCAGCAGTTCAGCTAAGGGCCCCAAGGCCTTGCATCAGAAGAAAGAGTGAGATCAACTCATTCGGGAGTTAACCACACTATAACACAGACAGGTCTTGATTGATATTTGGAGAAAGGAAATGAAGGGTCAAAGGTCTTTCAGAGATTCTTGAGGCTATAGACCTCATCCATCTGTCTTATGTCCCTACCATCTAAAAAAGCAGGTACCCAATGCGTGTCTATTCACTGACCATATGGCCCCAGTGCACGCATGCTTCTCATTTCTTTTCCTCTTGGAACATATCCTTAAGAAGAACGGTAAAGAACAGGGACAGCTCATGGATCAAGGGCCTGTGTGTGAAAACTAAAACCATAAAATTCTTAGAGGAAAAAGTAGGGGTGAAGCTATAGGATCTAGTTTTTAGTGATGGGCTATCAGATGGGACAACAAAAGCATGAGCAGCAGAAGACAAAATAGATAAATGGGCCCTCATAAAATTTTTTTATTAATACTTTTATTCATCAAAGGATTTTATCGGGAGAAAATTATTGGAAACCATAATACCAATAAGAGTCTAATATCCAAATCATATAAAATACTTCTACAACTTAGAGACAAAAACACAAACCCAATCAAAAAATGAGCAAAGGACTTGAACAGACATTTCACTAGAGGCTATTCAAATGGCCAACAAACACATGAAACAATGCTGTACGTCATTAGCCATTAAACCAAAAGACCCCTTGTCATCGAGTCAATTCTGACTCATAGCGACCCTACAGTACAGAGTAGAACTGCCCCATACAGTTTCCAAGGAGAGGCTGGTGGATTCAAAACTACTGACCTTTTGGCTAGCAGCCAAGTTCTTAACCACCACGCCACCAGGGCTCGAAAGAACACTATGCATTCTCTCTCTCTCTGCAAATGCACATGTCACTCTCTCTCTGCTACTTTCTCCTTGCTAATTCCTCTTCATCCTTCAAGCCTCACCTCCCAACGGCAAGCTTAGTATGGGATAAATCTCCTCTGTGCTCCCTTGGTGCCCCGTGCATACCTCTCCCACAGTGACTGCCCCAGCGCTGAACCTGTGTTTATCTCATTCCCTCATCAAACTCTGTGTCTCCAGTTGTCTTGTTCGTAGCAGATGCTCAATAAAAACTTAGAGATGAAAATGAAATACCTGCCTCAGAGATTACTGGGAGCATTAAATACCCTATCTGAAAAACACCTACCACAGAGCAGGCTTTCTTAAAAAAGTCATCCTTCCCCTCTACATCAACCATAAAATAGGTCATACACGATCTCCTAGGGTGTCGTAAAGGATACATATGATAACAAATATGAAGTGCTTGCAACATAGTTGCTACTCAATAAATGTATCACAAAGGACAAACTTAAGACTAAGATGGAAGAACTGCTTTACCCAGCAGATATGACATTTATTTCAACACACGACACAGCAACAGAAGAGGTCCAGGTTGACTACTGAATGAAAGAGTCAGAGCCCACTATTTAGGGAAAATCTGGAGGGCAGGACCTTCATCTTGTTGCTTTGGGTCCCCAATGCCTGGCACATACATGTCTGTTCAGAGAAGAATGTGCAGTTCTTGAACAAAAGAAAAGAGATCTTTTCCCCAGTCCCTCCCCCACAAAAATGAGAATCAAAGAATGTCCGTGCTGGAAAGAGCTTTAGAGATCATCTAGTCCAGGGGTCAACCTAGGAGTCTGCTATTTTTGTACAATCCTTGGGCAAAGAACAGTTTTTACATTTTTAAAAGTTATTTAAAAAAACAAAGAACGAAGAAGAATATATGACAGAGATGGTATGCAGTCCACAAAGCCTAAAATATTTACTATCTGGAACTTTACAGAAAGTTTTCAGACTTCATCGATTCCAGTATCCTCATTTTGCTGCAAGAAAGTGGTAAAGGAACTTGGTCAAGGTCAGTCAGTTAGTTATGAGGAAGGCCTGGAATCAAAGCCAGATTTTTTTGTTTTCAGTCTGAATCAGGGTCAAATGAAAATTAAGAAAAAAAAAAAAGTAAACAATGTAAACATACAAAGTAAACATGAACAGTTTCGTTTATTCTAAAAACCATTCAAGTTTTTTTTTTTAAAGTGAATTCTGCAAATGGACCCCTGGAAAAAGCATGGGTTTGTAACTAGAGAAACACAAATTTAAAATCTATCCAGTTCCGTAATATTAGCTTTACGACTCTGGGAAGTTACTTAACCTTTTTTTTAAGTCTCTGCCAATCAACTGGATTGGATGATACGAACACCCACTGTCGACTTGTTATCCCAGGCTGGAATGTTTCCCAATTTTGAGCCCAGAGGTTGCCCAAAGTAAAAAAAAAGAAAGCAAACAGTTGTTGTCCTGTCCATTGGACTCCTGGCGACCTACGTGTGTCAGAGTAGAACTGTGCTCAGCAGGATTTTCAATAGCTGATTGATTTTTTTGGAAGTAGACAACCAGATCTTTCTTCCGAGGCGCCTCTGGGCGGACTCAAACCTTCAACCTTGAGGTTAGCAAGCAGGCGAGTCAACCATTTTGCACCATCCAAGGACTCCCCCCGAAAATAAAGAGAAACGTCATCAGGCGGAAAGACAGATTCAGCTGGAGAAGCGAAGCCCGGAACAGGGCAAAAGCGAGGACTGAGAAGCAAAGGGCACGAGGCAGAGATAGAACAGGAAGGCGGAGGGCCCGAGAAGACAGTCTCTAAATCCAGAAAGGGAATTATGGACTTTATGTTCGGGGTAACTAAGAAGAACAGAGACTTGGGCTGCTGTTTTCCTACACTAGCAGATTAAAGTACTTGAACTGGCCAGACCGGACGCCTTGTGAACGCACAGGGAAGGCACGCCTTGCTTACCTGCTGCCTAAGTCCACGGCCACAGCTCGGGGCCCCGTGCCACCCCATAGTGCTCGCACCTGCAGCGGGGTAAGTGTCCGAGCCCGCCCTGGAAGACGGAGGGGACCATCGCCCAGCGGCCGGAGCCGGAGGCACGAGCAGCAGCACCTGCAGGCCGCCATGACACCCGGCATGTGATCAGCCCGGGCTGCCCTCTGATTGGCTCACCCGGAGACCGTGGGGCGGAGCCTGGTCCAGTTTCGTTTCCGTGGCGCTGGGCGAACGCGAGGAAGCGGATACCCTGGCCACGTTCTACGAAGACGAGAGAGGGTCAAACCTTTCCGAACGCGGTTGTGACGTAACCTATGTTTCTTCGGACCCTTTAAGTATCCTCCAATGAAAGACAAGTAGAAAAATATTTCTTTGCTATATTGTTTAAAAGAAAGTCCTAGGACAATGTAAGTATTTAATAAGTAGGACAAATATAGTAATAATAGAAGTCATAGAACAACACATTATTCTTATTTAGTTTCTGTGAGCTGAGAATTTTTGTGGTGGGCCACGGTTTTTATGTTATAAATTTTACAGAAGAAATACGTTACTGCAAATGTTTGTGTTAAATGATTTCTAGTAAATAAATTTCATTTTTCATCGACCTATGTCGTAATTTTGTTGTTGTTGTTAGCAGGGCTTCGAAGTGGTTCTTTACGGTTCGAACCCTTGCTGAGGATTCGCATTTCCACCCCATGTATGAAACCGAAAACCAAACCCAGTGCCATCAAGTCGATTATAGGACAGGGTAGAATTGCCCCCTTGGGTCTACTAAGGAGTAGCTGGTGGATTTAAACTACCAACCATTAATGGCTTATTAGCCTAACCCTTAACCACTATGCCACCACGGTTTCTACTCTAGAGATACTGAATTAGAATTTACAGTTTTCACAAGATTCCCCAGGTGATTCTTATGTATAATAGAATTTGAGAACCACTGCTGTACTAGCGGTTCTCTGAACTGATCCCTAACCAGCAGCATTAGCATCTCGTGAGAACTTGTTAGAAATGCAAATTGTTAGCAAGGGTTCGAACCCGGAACAAAGTGATTTGAAGCCCTGATTGTTAGATGCCATCAAGTCAGTTCCGACTCAGCCATTCTAAGTACAACAGAAGGAAACACTGCCAGGTCGAGCGCCATCCTCACAATCGTTGCTATGTTAGAGCTCATTGTTGAAGCCACTGTGTCAGTCCATCTCATTGAGGGACTTCCTCTTTTTCGATGACCCTCTACTTTACCACGCATGATATCTTTCTCCAGGGACTGCTCCCGCCTGATAACATGTCCAAAGTGTGTGAGACGAAGTCTCACCATCCTCACTTATAAGGAGCCTTCTGGCTGTACTTTTTTGAAGACAGATCTGTTCGTTCTTCTGGCGGCCCATGGTATAGTAAATATTCTTTGCCAAGACCGTAATTGAAATGCACTTCTTGGGTCTTCCTTATTCGTTGTCTAGCTTTCACATGCATATGAGGCGAATGAGAATACCATGGCTTGGGTCAGGTGCACCTTAGTCCTCAAAGTGTGACATTTTTGCTTTTGAACACTTTAAAGAGGTCTGTTGCAGCAGATTTGCCTGATGCAATACATCTTTATTTTTATTCCCATTGCTACTATGTATCAATTCATTTCTCTGCCCGTTTTGGTCAAACATTAATATCTTCTAAACCAGAACTAAAACGCAAATGCCAGCTACTATTTCAAATACATATTTTGTAAAGTGAAAAAAAACATTTCTTCAATTTGTATTTGATAAATTTTTGTTGTTGTTAGCTTTCGTAGAGCTCCCAACTCGTGGCAATCCCACGCACAATGGAAAGAAACTCTGCCAGGGAAGTCAATTGCCAGACCTTTCTTCCTAGTCTGTCTTAGTCTGGAAGCTTTGCTGAAACTGGTTCAGCTTCACAGCAACCACAAGCTGCACATGAGGTGCATTGGCCTGGACTAGAACCTGGCTTTTTGGCATGGAAAGCGAGAATTCTACCGGTATCCTCGATGAATTTTACGGGGTAGGTAAATTTTTTCCATTCGTTTTAATCTAGTTTGTTAGAAATTCTTTGTGTGGTTCCTTGAAGGCGCCAGTGATTCTTCTTATATTTTGAGGGCCATGTTTACCTTTTAAGGTCATCATCAAATGAAGTAACCCTTTCCCCTGAAAGAAAACCAGACAACAAAAACTCAGCACACACTCAGACATAGTTTTAAGATTTAAAAATGTTGAGCTCAAACAGTCAAATGATTCGATTGGCAGAGCAGCTCCCCTACACCTTGTTTTCTTGAGCTGTTACTACAGATCTGGGATTTCCTTGCCGTGCTTGGAGAAGAGTGATTATTAAGCACAGGTCAGCAGGAGGGATTACTGCTAACTTGGTTCATGGGTGTTCAGCCTCTGGTAGTTTATGCTTCTTTCTCTACCCTTGACTTTACCTTGAGCTGTCACAGTGTTTTCAAGATCCATCTATTGAACTGGTCATAAAGACAAATCTATCAATAACAATCTACTTGCTTCAGTTCCACATGACTTTGAATTTATAGAATAAGAATACTTCTTTTTGTTAAATCACCTTTTAGTAAGGTACTTAAGTACTACGTGATGATTTTTATTTAGGCAATGTAGCCTAATAAGAGCCTAGACTCAGTGTTGGGCCCAGCCAGTTCTAGTCCTGGCTCTGTCATTTACTAGCTGTATGACCCTATGTCTCTGAGCCTCAGTTTCCTCATCTAAAAATGGATAATAATATCAATCTCAAGGGGTTTTGTAAGAATTAAAAGTGACAGGTGATGTAAGATGTTTTATCTCAGTATTTGGCACATCATCGGCACTCAATAAATGATAGATTCGACTTTAATCTACTCTTTTCCTAACCCTCTCTCAAGTTTCCTCTATCTGAAATACTGAACAGCCTCCTTTCCTTCATAATTCCAGAATTAGTTAGCTTTCATCCAGCTGGAAAGTAGCATTTACATATTAAGTCTACCTCGGTTTTCCCACACTAATCCCAAATAATTAAAGGAGTACCAACTGGATCATAAACTCAGAGGCAAATATGGCACCCAGTCTTGTGACAGAGTTCTCTTATGAAGTAGTCACACTGATGATCAAGAATATGTTTATTGTTGGCATTTTTAAATTAGCATAGGAACAAAAATGTGAAATTTAAAAAATTTTGTGGCTGTAACTACTGAAGCTATGATGATAAGGTTCAGTCTAAGAGATGTCACACCCCAGTAGTATAGTTCTGCCAGTTAGAGTTCAACAGCCAAATTATAATTCAGAAGGAATTTTATTCTTTACCTATGACTCTTGAGGGACATAAAAGGGATCCACTTCACATCCACCAGCAAAATTTCTGAGCTCTCCTTTTGTCTTCAAACTGCAGTGAAGCTGCATCAAAGAAGTTAATACCATTGCATGCTCTCTAAGCAGCAGTTTCACTTAAGGAAAACATCATTGTATTAAATTGTTGTTAATTAAATGTAAATTTGGCTTAGACAGTATGCACACTTTTTTTGAGTTTATGACTATGTAAGAGCGACAAGAATAAGGAGTTTATATCTAGTTATATATTTGTACATATTTAATTAACATTATGTAGAAAGTATCAGTGGACACTGAGGGGGTCCATGAGAATTTTTTCCATTGAAAAAGGTGTGTATCTTAACTTTGAGAAAAACTGCTCTACACCATTGCCAGAGGGCTCTTGCTAAATAAAAGATTATAATCATGTCTCTATCCTGATTAAATTTCTTTTTTTAGTTTTTGATTTTTTACTTATTTATTTTATTGTACTTTAGATGAACAAACTAGCTTCTCATTTAACAGTACACATATTGTTTCGTGACATTGGTTAACAACCCCACAAGTTGTCAACTCTCTCCCTTCTTGACCTTGGGTTCCCTATAACCAGCTTTCCTGTCCCCTCCTGCCTTTTAGTCCTTGCCCCTGGGTTGGTGTGTCCCTTTAGTCACGTTTTGTTTTATGGGCCTGTCTAATCTTTGGCTGAAGGGTGAACCTCAGGAGTGACTTCATTACTGAGCTAAAAGGGTGGCCGGGGGCCATACTCTTGGGATCTGATTAAATTTGTTGAATGGCTTCCTAGATTTTTTGTCTACAAGATTAAATCTAAACTGCTGTTCGTGGACTGTCAACTTTTCCTTTCCGATTTAGCCTCATCAACCTTTACTTACTGCCCTATTTCTCTCCTTCTCTCCCTCATTTTGTTCTCCAAAAGAACTGAACTCTTGTTCCCCTGCAATCCATCACTTTCTCCACTGCCTCTGTGCTTTGCACGTGTGATTCTCCGTGCTTGGCACACGTTCCCCCTGTGTCAGTCTGGCAAACTCCTATTCAGTCTCCAGATGTTAGCTTCAATACTGTCCTCTTTGACTAGCCCAGGCATACAGGTACAATCTGTGTTTATCCTTCCATTATTAATTAATTTACATAATCATTTATTCATCCATAGAAGTGAATGTGGAGGGAGGTATTACACAGCATGTAAAGGTGCTAGCTCTGGCATCACATTGCTTGGGTTTGAGTCACCACCTAAACATGTGACGCTTGGTAAATTGCTTTTCTCACACC